GTTATGTGCCGTTGGGTCAGGCGAGACTCATAGCAACCCCTCCTTGGGTTTCCGAGGCAGTATCACTACGGAAGTAGATTGCCCCATCTTCCTTCTAAGGAGTGGCTGGTGGGTTTGAACCGCCAGCCTTCTGGTTAGCAGTCAAGTGCCTTAGCCACTATGCTACCAGAGCTCCCTTATACACTTTAGGAAAGTTAAAAAAAAATTTTTTAAGGTATTTCAACTATAAATTATTCCTTAAGAAAGGTGTTTTTTTTTTTTAAGAAAAATTTCCTTCCCTAAGGGCACACTGGTATTAAACACATTTATAAATTTTTACATTTTTATTTTCTGTAAAAACCCCTCAGCCTTTGATTCAAGGGCAGGCATCTCTCCTAAAACACTCTGCTGGCAGCGGGAAGATCAGAGTTCCCTATCCCTTGCTGGGCTCTTGGCAGATGGTCCAGGGCCCAGCAAGCTGTGCCCACCCCTGCATCCTCAGGGGAGCTGAGGCCACGCTGTGCTCCTGGGTGGTGGCTCCCGTGGGGGCAAAGGGTGTAGGACTTGAAGTCTTGTCCCCTTAGGATGGCTGGCATAACTGCTGGGCAGGCTCCCTATGGACAACTCAGCTGATGGTCAGGGCCAGCAGTCTTGGGGAATTATGGAGGGGTTGGAGGAGCATTCAGACTGTGATTTTAAAACTTGTGCCTTCTCCCTCTTTTTACAGACTGAAAGTTTACAGAGCAAATTGGTTTTCCACTCAACAATCCATGCACATTCCATTCTGTGACATTTACTGCAATCCCCACATTGTAACAACATTCTTCCCACTTCCTCCCTGCACCCACCACTTCCCTTCCTTCTTTCTTCTCATTGCCTCCCAGTTTCCTAGGCAAAGGCTGTCTCTATCCCTGAGCAAATGCTGTCCCCTTGATCTCATATGCTGGATTGTTCTAATGAGTAATATCCTCTTAGGATTACTGTTCACCTTATAGGCCTGTCTATCATTTGGCTGACAGTAGAGTGATGTGGCTTAACTTCAGTTCCTAGCTTGAAGGGTGTCTAAGGGCCATAGCCTCAGAGATTCCATCAGTCTTGACCAGACTAGTTGTTATTGTTGTTGTTGTTTTGTGCCGTCGAGTCAGACCTGACTCATAGCGACCCCTCCTTGGGTTTCCGAGGCAGTATAACTACGGAAGTAGATTGCCCCATCTTCCTTCTGAGGAGTGGCTGGTGGGTTTGAACCGCCAGCCTTCTGGTTAGCACTCAGATGCCTTAGGCATTATGCTATCAGAGCTCTTGATCAGACTAGTAAGCCTGGTCTTTTCATGATTTTGGTAGTTTAGTTCCAAACTTCCCCAACTCTATCTGGGACTTCATTGTGATCACTTTCAGAGCTGTCAGCTGTGGTAGCCAGGCACCATCTAGTTCTTCTGGCCTCAGGGTTGTGGACGCTGGGGTTCAGATGTTTCCTTGCATCTTTGACTCTCTTCATTTTTGCTTGTGCCTCCCCCCACTGTCTCATCTAATGTATATAAATATCTCATGCTTTTTTTTTTTTTTTTTTTTGCATGAAACAACATGGATTTGTTTTCATATTTTAAATACAAATAGTATAAAAACCAGTGGTCATGGAGTCAATTCTGACTCATGGTGACTCATGTATGTCAGGGAAGAACTGTGCTCCATAGGATTGTTAATGACTGATTTTTCATAAGTAGATTACAGGCCTTCCTTCCAAGAGCCTCTGGGTAGACTTGAACCCTCAACCTTTAGGCCAGCAGCCGAACACAGTTTGCACCTCCCCAGACTCCAGACACACCATAAAGGCATATAATGCTGAGCATGCCTTTTCGAAATTCACTCTCTCCTTTCCCCTTGGAGACACCAATGCAGCCCTCTCTATTTTAGATTCTGAGCAGCTCCCCTGTGCCAGCCTGTCAGACCCTGTCTCCATCTTTCTCAGGAGAGTTGGTGCTGTGCTTCTCCAGGAGGAGGTCTGCCTGCCCCCATGGTGAGCAGAAACAGCCACAGCCAGAAACCAGTCTCAGAGCTCATACCATGGGGGTGCTGAGAGCAAGTGCCTGATGAGCAATTTCCCAGTGACAACACATGAGAAAATCACTGTACTCACTGTTCTGAGACATAAAATTGGGTTTTCAGGACTGTTGCCTTTGTCTGTCTCATGATGCAGAACCGCTGACATCTATGCTTGGGGTCCCTGTCTCTTGCCCTGGATACGTGGTCTTGCTGATCCCCACTGAGGTGGCCAAACTTGAGCCCTCTAGAAGTCTAGCGGCCTGGACCTGCCATGATAGGGACACTCTTTGCCTTATGGGCCCTGCAGCTGTAAGGAACCTGCACAGGCTTCTTCCTGGACCCTGCTGTGCTATGGACTGAGTTGTATACTCCAAAACTATGTGATGGAACCTTAACCCCTACACCTGTGGATGTAATCCCCTTTGGGAACAGGATTTTCTTTGCTGTGTTAATGAGGCCTGTCAGTGTAGGGTATGTCCTGAATTTGATCACTTCTGAGTTATACAAAGAGATTAGACACAGAAGAAAGCACAAAATGAGGGGAGACAGGTGCCATGTGACCATCACTGAGGAACCAAGGTATGTCCAGGCTACCTTTAAGGAAGAAATTGACACAGCAGACAGTTACTGTTGTTGTCATCTGCCGTCGAGTTGGATCCAAATCATAGCGACCCCTCCTTGGGTTTCCGAGGCGGTGTCACTACAGAAGTAAATTGCCCAACCTTCCTTCCAAGGAGTGGCTGGTGAGTTTGAACCACTAGCCTTCTGGTTAGCAGTCAAGTGCCTTAGGCACTGTGCTACCAGAGCTCCTACAGCAGACAGTGGAGACACTGATTTGGACTTTTGCCTTCCTAAACTGTGAGAAAATAAAATTTTGTCCTTTAACGCCATCCATTTGTTGTATTTCTGTTACAACAGCACCCGGAAACTAAGATACTCCCCCTCTGGCTTCCTATGGGAAGGCTTACCTACCATGACACAGGCCCTTTGGGATCTGTACGACTCCCACTCCTCCTCCTCACCTCACCATCCCAGCCAGTCCTACTGAACAGTGTATGTACACTTTGTTGGAGTCATAATATTCTTTCCTTCCATCTGGAATAATTTTCTCCCTTCTTTGGCTGGCTTAGTCCTACCTATCCTTCAAAAGCTGAGATATCATCTCCTCCAGGAAGCCTTCTCTGACTCCTCCAGACTAAGTCAGACACTTCACTATTCTTCTACCTCTGTCCCCACATTTACCTAGTATGTAATTATCCAGCCCAGTACCCTCCCACTAGGTTGCATTCTCTGAGTGCAAGAAGATGATTCATATCCACATCCAGAAAATCAGAATACTCAGATATTCACTGGTTATGCAGAATAACCGGTCTTCAGCCCAGTGTTTGGTACATCATATATGCTTAGTAGTTGTGGAGTAAATGAATGGGTGGATGTCTGCTCCACTCAGCTGATGCAGGCAGTCCTAACTCATGAGCACTGGTGATGCTGGTCCCCAGGAGAGTATGGATTCCAGTCTCATGTCAGGACGGCTTCAGCTACTGTATCAATTCTTGAACTAAGTCAGATTTAACTATGGGAGTGTCCAATCCCACTGTCCTGAGCTCCTTGTCATTCTAGGGAGGCCAAAAGGCATATGGCCTGGCCCTTCTCAGAAGAAAAGGAACTTACTAAGTGTTATGTACTAGTCCCCCTGTTCCTGTCATATACCCAGCACTCCTTCCTGTCATTCAGGAATCTCACTCCAAGGCATTCCCTTCTGAGATTAAAGAGCTGTAAGTCTCCAGACACCCTAGACCTGCTTGTAAATCAGGAACCTAAAAACTAGAGACAAGCAGCTTCCAAAGAATGGGAAAAGGGGTACAAAAGAGGGGCAGGAAGATGTGTGGTGGATGGTGGAACAAGGCCATGGCTAACAGTTCAAGAAAAAGGACTAACTTGCAGCCCTTGCTTTGTCCAATGCCTCCCCACTCTCCCAGACTCCTTCAGCATCTAAAAAGTTAAACAGTAGCTGCTATTGACTTGACTCTGGCTCATGGGGACCCCATGTACATCAGAGTAGAGCTGTGCTTCATAGGGTTTTTAATGACTGAATTTTTTGGAAGTAGGTCATCAAGCCTTTCTTCTGAGGCTATTCGGTGTACACTTGAACCCCCAACCTTTCTGTTAGCAGTTTAGTGTGTTAACCATTTGCACTACCCAAGGACTCCCTAAAAAGTCAAGAGCCCCACATTTCCTACTGGACTAGAGTCCTGCTCACATTCTCACCTCCCACCTCCAGTGGGCGCTGCTGAGTTAATGGCCTGAACCATATCTGTGGTGAGAGCATCCAGTAAGCTGGTGATGAACTCCATTTTCTTCCCTTCTGGGCAGCCTGGAAGATAAAGTGAGACTTAAAGGCAGATGCCAGGTAAATAAAGGAAACAGCTTCCTCAACTACTACCCTTTTCCAAACCTCTCCAAGTCCTTTTTGTTCTGCCAAATCCCTTTTGGGGTTTGTGTACTGCTCAGATATCCTCATAAACCCCCACTGGTCCTCTACCCTCCATCCATGAGGAATCAGTGGGTCATAGACCAAATGGTTAATAAGGCTTTCAATTTTTCTCCATTGCACAAACTGACTGAATACCAGCTCAGGTACCATGTTGAATGGTGGGGGTACAAGAGTGAACTCTATACAGGGTCCTCATCCTTGTGAAATTCACAGGACATTGGGGAACTCAAGCTAATGGTCAAGCAGCCATACTGTGGTATAAAAAGTGCTACTCTAGGGGTCAGGACCAGGGGCTATGGGGCGCAGGGAAGGGAGAGAACTCGGATGGTCACAGTTGACTTCAAGTAGACCTACCATGTTATCTATTCAAGAACCTCCTCTTTTTGTCACTTCCCTCATCTGGCTTAGATTATAATTATAGACTCTTGTTCCTAAATGTTCTCAAGTTCTTTGCTCCTCTTTTCATCTACTGCAGTATTCCAGCAAAACCCCAATCATGATGCACCTTCTCATGGATATGACTCTTCCATGTGGAGCTGAGTATTGCTGGGGAAGAAACACTGCACAACTAGAAAGATGGGTGTCCCTACAAAGTCATGATCACCAACATCAAGTAGGTCTTCAGTATTACCCACAATCCTCCTTTCTGCAACAATTGTTTCATTCGTTTCTCTCCCCAAATTCCCTAGGTGTCAGGTTAAACATTATCATCCAGAGACACCATCAAATCTATAGTAGTTTCTCCCTGTCATTCTCACACTTTGCTCTTTTCCTTCAGAGTACTTACATGAACTATATGTATTCATTTATTTGTATTATTTGTCTCCCCCACTGTGTAAACATCATGTAATTTCTGATCACTGGATTATATATAGTGCCTGGTACAAAGAATCTCGATTCACTTTTGTTGAGGGAGTGGCTAGAAAAAGGTACCCTGGTCTCTACAACTCTATCCTTGCGACAGGATGATTCCTAAAAGCCTCATGTGGAAACTCCCTGATTTCAAGGGCCCTCTGCTTTAACTTCTCACTTTGGAGTCATGATGGATGACAGGATTAACTGCAGATTGTGCTGAGCAATGACTATACCTTCAGTGCTCAAAATTACAGGTAGTTAGTAATCTTACTGTAACTCTCAGGCAAAGATGACTATTAAAAAAGGTCCAGGGACTCTGCCTGTGTGTCTGGTGTCACACCGCAGTGTGTGCCACCAGGGATCATCGTGAGAGCACTCTACAAGCCAGGCTGACAAAGAGCCCTGCTGCAAGCCATCTTGTCTTCATAGACCTGGAAGAAAAAGGTGATAGCCCAAAAAACATTGTCCCAATCTCCTTAGGACAGAGAAAGAATTAGATTTGGAGGCTAGGATCTGAACCCAGGAACTATATTTTAAAGACAAAGATGCAAGAGCAAGGAGGAGAACCAATATGCTAAAGGCGCAGGACTAATCAGGGACAAATCCCAGCCTGGAATATTGATCCCTGGCCTCCATGTCTGTGACATCCCTGCCCAACATCCTGTCCTCCATCTTACAGATCAGGGGAGAGACCCAGAGCAGGGAGCTCCTTCTGGATGACAAGGGGATGAAGGGACAGAAAGAGGGGAAGGAGCCATCAAGGGGCAGTACTGTCTCCCACCTGGCAGCTCCCTGTCCTTGAAGGGGTCCTCCACCTCTGCACTCTTGGCCCTGGCATCGCTCTCACAGTTGGGCATCACATAGCTGGGAAAAGAGAGAGATTAGGCATAGAGGGCAGCTGAGCCTACTGGAGCCACTACCAGTTGCCATTGAGTTGGTTCTGACTCATGGTGACCCCATGTGAGTCAGAGTACAGCTGTGCCCCACAGGGTTTCTGATGGCCGATTTTTGGAAGTAGATCGCCAGGCCTTTCTTCCAAGGTGCCTCTGTGTGGACTTGAGCCTCTAACTTTTGGTTAGCAGCCGAGTGTGTTTGTTAATCATTTGTGCCACCCAGGAACTTCTATTTCAGATACTACTGCCTATTACCTATGTTGTCACCAAGTCTAGTAGCTCCTCCCAAGGCTGGCAGCAAGGTATCCTTTGTACTGTTCAGCAGCCACAAGGAAATCCCAGAACACATGATCCCGTCCAGACATACTCAGGCATGTCATTTTAGCCACTCAAGCATAATAATGATGTCAACCTATATCTGCACATGGGAACTTATTTGATCCACAGAACCTAGTGACTCAGGCAGAGTAATAATACTCTCATTCAGAACCTGCGGTACAGAGAGGTTAACTACATGCCCAACGTTGCTCAGTTAGGAAGGAGCAGGCCTGTGACCAAAATCCAAGTCCCAGAGGCCTTTTATCAGAGCCATATCATCCACTCATGGATGGATAGGTTGTTCTCCTAGTGACCTAACAGCCACCAAGCCAGGGCCTAAGGCTGGGAGATGCCAACATAACAGGACTCTGGTCCTCATGTACCCATGTCCTGCCCAAGGTACAGCGCAGGCTGTGAGTGGCCTTACCGTGTGGAGGTCCCAGGCAGCGGGCGCCCCGTGTCCACCAGCACACACCAGCAATACCCTGTGGACTGGTGGCACTGCACTGGCTTATAGAGGCCCCCAGGGGCACACTCAGGGATGACAATGCCCTCCCGGGGATTCTGCTGGGCCTCTTCCAGGGCACTCTGCCTCTCCTGGTCACATGAGTGGACTTTCTCTGCAAGAGAAGACATAGCCTGCAGTGACTTATCACTCCTGTGACATATCAGTGCTGTGACATTGTTCCTGCTTCTGTGCTCAAAGCATAGGCCAGGCCTGGCCCCAAGGAACTGATGACTTTGCTGATGAATCGCCACAGAACTATGTCTCCCACCAGCCCATGGAGATGGGAGAGGAGGGCTGAATGCCTTGTGGCCAACTCCACTATCAAAATTCATCGGCATTCACACCACATAGTTTCTAAGGAAGAACAAGTAGACCAGGGGCTCCAGGGCTGCTCCTTATCAGAAAGCCATTCACCTCAGTGTGGAATTTGTTTTCAGAGTGGCTTCTGTGGCTGCTGGCTCCAGGGGAGGCTGGTCTGGGAGCTTAGCTGCTCTGTGAGCTGACTCAGGAATGTCCGTCTGTGTGGACACAGTGGGACAGAGCCACCGGCCATCAGCCTCAGGAGGAGTGGCATTCACTACCCAATGGAAGCAGAAATAAGGTCTGCCCAGGCTCCTTCCCATCCTCCATCAGGCTGAACAAAGTAGGCATGAGGACCAGAGCTGGATTACACATGCTGCTTCCATCCAATGGGAGGGAAAAACAGGACCAGAAGGATGATGTCTGCACTCAGCAGCCTCAGAAGAAAGGTGAAGGTGTCTGATCAGCCAAACTGGGCTTCCCAGGAATCGGGCTCTGGCTGAGACTGTGTGTGGTGTCCCATACCAAGGCAAGGCCAGTGCAGGAGGGCCACAGACCCAGCACCTTACCAGAAAGTTCACCCAGTCAACCAGTCAGCCTGCCTGGCTTTCTTTGTTTATATATATATATATATACACACACACACACACACACACATACATACATATATACATATATATATACACACACACACACACACACATATAAATTTAGTATAGATAAATAGTATTAGGTTTCTTCTTTTTTTATAGAGAAATGAAAAAGAAGAAAAAAGTGAGAAGCCCATAATCCCACTAAAGTTCCACACTATACTTTCCTCAGACATTTTATGCATGTACCACCAGTTACCAGTTACCATCAAGTTGATTCCGACTCATGCTAACCCCAGGAATGTAAAAGCAGGATTGTACTACATAGGGTTTTCAGTGACTGACTGTTTGCAAGTAGATAGCCAGACCTTTCTTCTGAGGTGTCTCTGGGTGAACTGGAACCATCAACCTTTAGGCTAGCTACCAAAGAACTCCCAGTATACACATATTCACATGCAAAAATATATGAACACATATGATGTATAACAGAGCTAACAGGGCAAAGTTTTGATAACTTCTTAGTTGTGGAGTCAACCACCCTGATAGAGCAAGTTGTTGGGCCCATGGGCTTGGAACTATGGCTGAGGGGGGACATAAAGCTCAATCAGCATAACATACTACACAAAAACATTGTTCTACATTCTACTTTGGTGAGTAGCGACTGGGGTCTTAAAAGCTTGCAAGTGGCCATCTAGATGCAACATTTGGTCTTTTCTCATCTGGAGCAAAAAAGAATAAAGAAAACCAAAGACACATGGAAAGAATTAGTCCAAAGGACTAGTAGACCATGGGAACCTCAGCCTGCATGACCCGGAGACCAGAAGAACTAGATGGTGTATAGCTACCACCATCAACTGCTCAGAAAGGGATCAAAATAGGAGATCCTAGATAAAGTGGGAGACAAATGTGGAGCAAAACTCAAAATCATAAACAAGACCAGGCTTACTGGTTTGATAGACTGGTGAAACCCCTGAGACCATGGCCTCCAGTCACCCTTTGGGCCTGGAATTGATCTCACTCCTGTGGCTTCCAGCCCAACAATAGACAGGTGTATAGGTCAACATTTACACCTGGTAGGTACACTCCTGGTGAGAATAGAAGGGCAGCATTTGCGCAGAGAGATCACTCAGAGGGCAGGAATGCATAGAAAAGAAGGACACAGGGAAAAGGTAACAACAAAGAAAAGTGAGAAGAGAGCTGTTAAAATACGGGAATTACAGTCAATGTCATGAAACAAAATGTGTATGAACTACTGTATGGAAAATTAATTTGCTCTGTAAACTTTCACCCAAATCACAATTTTATGTATGTGTGT